ACCCACTCTACTCTCCCCAGTAAGGAGCCATTTGAAGAACTTGAAGATGATTGTTTTTTGAGAAGGTTGCCAATTTAATCTAAAAATCAATTAAATTTCACGGCAGTTAAAAAATCCTCTTTGTATCCAAATCCTCAGAGCCTTAGGGGGAAAAAGCCTTTGGAGTGAAATGTAAGAATTTTAATGTTTTATGCAGAAAGACAGAATTTAGAGGGGATGAGAAAGAAACAAGTGTGATGTGCTTTTTTCCAGTTGCTCTGGCATACAAACTCTGTTTTTCCCACTCACACTTGTTTCACCCCACTGGTTTCAGCACCTCATGTCTTGTGTTCTCCTCAGCTTCAAACATCGCTGCAAATTCAAAGAAACACTTTAGCTTTCTCTTTCTAGCTATGTTTTTGAATGAATAAGTGAATTGAATAAGTGAAGGCTGAAGTGATGCGGTGAAACAAGTTTGAGAGATCTGAAAGGCTTCAGAATTTCAAAACGTGCTTTGCATGTAACTATGGTTTTATAAATAATTTTGCTGTTTACTCTATGTAAATGCAGAACTGCTGAAGAAAATCTTAAAAAAGGAGGCAGTAGTGGTTCTATGTTTAAAAATAAATCTATAGCTATTGCTACTAAAGGTATCCTACAGTCTATTATACAAACAAGATTAATCAATTTAATATTTCTTTATAGCATTCATCTCTTTTACAGGCCCTGTAGATGCCAAGTTCTCCAATTAATCTGAAAATCTATGACATGCATTCATATAAATTAATGTATTATGATTGCTAGCTAACAATATATTGTATAGTTGTAATCAAAGCATTTACTTGGGTATAGATACCATGCATGAGTTCTCTCCATTTCATTTTGGGAAGCTACCATATTGTGAGTGGCTAGGCAAAGAAAATCCATTTGATAACAGCCAAAGAAATTAAATAGTTGTTACTCATTCCCTATATATGACGCCGTAGGTTTATGCATATAGTAATGTACATTTGTAATTTCTTATCCCCCAAGAATGACATGTGTATAATGCAGCTCTGTTATTCTCCACCAAGTATACAGTATTCATCTTGTAAATGGTTGCTTTGTAATAGTATTTAAGTCCAGAATCTGCTGTAAACTGTGTTCTCATATGTTTTTATTGGTGAGCAAAAGACAAATACCTCAGTGATAAAAGGGGGAGTGTGCTCCCTGCTCTCATCAAGTCTTCAGACCTGCTTAGCAAAAATTTTGAAGCAGCTGAACTATGCTTCATCATAATTCCATATTCTCAATGCTCAGAATCACAGAAATAGGTTGTAACTGAAGGAACAGTTAGTTGGATAAGCTTTAACAACTGGAGTTAGGATTTAGACAGGTGCTAACGGAATGCTTTTGTCTCATGTGTCTCCTTGTCAATGCTGAAGTGATTCTCCTTAGCTCAGAGGTGATGCAGGATGTGTGCATGTATTGCCCAAGTTCACACAAATTGCTCATGGTTCGGAGCAGAGAAAGGTTAGGACATGGCCTCAGAATCCTCCCTTTGTTTTAGGCACATTTTCACTGTTTTGCATGTTTATATCATTTCCTCCCTCTTCCCGCCCCAAAAAATCAACAGATATCTTCAGTCTCCAGGTGCTGCCACAGTGTCAGTAATGTGGACCACTTGAATTCCTACACAGTGCATGCTGTAGATGTGTAGATGTAAAATATCTCCCAGCTGTCATGTATAAACTGCAGCATTGTGAGGCAGTTAATCCTGATAAATCCTGAGTTTTTCAGAAAAATATACTTCTTCTATTGTATGGTGTTTCTGATAATTATCTTGTGTCTAAATATTTTCATTTTCAGCCAGTAATGCTTCAGCTTTCATTTTAGGTTGTTTATATTAGAAGAATTTCCTATTTTTGACTTGTCTTGAATAGGCTGGCAAAAATTGGTACTTTATAGTTTCTATGTTAAGGGGTTTTTATTTTATGTTCTACTAGCTGTTTGTTTTTTCTCTACAGTGCTTTGTCATCTATCATTCCTCAATGTATACAGGATGATAAATTCCCTGTCTCTGTTAATGAAAGTCAAGAATGCTTTGCTTCTCTCAGGATTGGTGCCATATTACCAGGACAATGTATTGATTTGGTTGACTGCCAGTGTGTGATGCATGACAGAAATGAGAAATTGAACTTTCTGAACGTGAAGTAAATCATGCTGATGATGATATATAAATGATTGAGGGAAAAGTGATCAATCAGATGGTCTCCACTGGCAACAGAGCTACATACAATTTAATATATAGTAAACTAACTGTTGTTTTACAGTCTAAATCAAATAGTGTTCTGTGCTAAACTTACCTTTTTGCAAAGATTACATGGAACATTTTTGGGTTTAGTATGCTTATGTTTCTACTTCACCAACATGTGGTCTGATAATTTAGAAGTACTGAACTGACTTTATTAACTCTTGTTTTTTTCTTGTCAAGAGCTATAAATTGTTTTTTCTAGAGTGCTTATTACTATTTTAAATTGGTTGATCTTTAAATAATTTTAACTAGTAAGTAGAATTGTTTTGAGTCCCACCTTCCTGCAGAAGGAGTTTATTAGAGCCTCACGTAATTGGACTTTACTGTAAAACATCCACTAGAGAATGAATAGGCCCATTCTCTCTTTTGGCAGATGTTTTCAGATATTAGACTTGTATCCGATTATCTATCTCTGGGTACTTTAGCAGTACACAAGAACATTCATGTGCAGATGACTGTAACATTCTTTTCTCTCCTCCACGCTCTGAAATGAATGGGATAATTTTATCCTTTTTGGAAAGAGGGAGAAATATTTTAATGAAAGCTTAAACAGACTTCTTGAAATTCTCCTTATTGATACCTACTAACAAGTCTTGTCATTCTGAGTCTGTCTCAGCTTATCATTTGCCCAATGTAGTTCCCTTAAGCAGCAGGGAGTTCTCCTCAAAGCCACCCAGAGCTGCAGTTTGGAATCTTGGGTTTGAACCTGTGGGTAAGAGTTTCCAAGGATTCCTCTCTCCTAAGAAGTAGTTGTCAATGTTTGCTTAGTGTTAAGGCTCTGAGAATCTAGGAAGAAGCTGAATCACGTCTTCTTGGTAGAGAGTAATGCTGAAGCATTTGGCAATCAGCTGGAATGTAAATCCTAAAGTTCTCTTGTGTGAACCCAAGTAAGATTAGACAGTTCAAGTCTAAACTGCTCATAGGCAGTTTGGCAAAAAAGTTCTTCTAATAGATATTCTAAAAAATACAACCAAATAAAAAGCCTTTTAGCACTTTTATAAACTTTTCCCCTTACATAGAAAAGTGGTGTTTTTCCCTTCTGAAACTTATTTTAACATTTGTGTTTTTTTCAGAAATAAACAAAATAAAAATAAAATATTGATTTATTAGCTGTGAAGTTTAACAGTTTAGTTACTTAAGAATTAAATAAATTACCTTGATTAATCCCACCAAGTTCAGTAAATGGTATTACAATCTGGAACTTGCCACTGGAGGGCAGGGTAGATGTCAGAATATCAGCAAAACTTGACAATATCACAAAGATACTCCCAAAAAAGTAATATCAAGCTTCCTAAACTCCCTAAGGATGTTTTGTTATATTTTTCGTAACATGAAATGCAGTAAATGGCTTTTACATCTCAAGATCAGCCAATATAATTAATCGTCCTTATTTTATTTTAGACTTTATTTTATTTTAGATTTTATTTTATTTCTCTCTCTGAAAGCCTAGAAAAAGACTTGAAAAATATAAAGTGGTGCTAGGCAAGGAGACATAAGTAAACTGTTTGCCTCTTTTCTGAAGATTGTGACCAGGAAAGTAAAAGNATACAAAACTCTGGAATTGCTATCAACATACTATTGGAATGTATCTACCAAAACACTTTTTAAAATTCTGTGTATTAGATATATTTTTATAGTTGGTTCAGTGTTTTTACAGATTATTTGGTTCATGTCTTCAAACTTGCTTGCGTTCCGCTAACACTGTACACCTGGTTGCTACTTGGATTATCAAAAATTTATGATGCACAGGAACAGTTTTATAAGTTCTATGCATTATTCCTTGAAATTCAGTGGTATTTGAACACTCTAAAATGGTATTTAGTGAACAATTTTGTTCTTTGTCTATGGATGAGGACTTAAAATCAAGGTGGTTTATATTTTTATTATCTCAATTTGCAAAAAAGTCATGGTCATTATTTTGTGTTTTAGTTGATTTTATTTACAACTTTCAATTACAAAATCTTTAGATTCATTCATAATGAAACATTAATGAATATTGTATTTCCTGCTTTTGCAATAGATTCATTTCTGATCTCTCATGATCATTTCTGTACACCAACTCTGTAGCATGCAGCTTGGCTCAGCTACCACTTGGGAACCCAGTTTCCTTTTTCATGGATACTTTTTATGACTGTGCTGTGTTCTGGGTGTTTTTTTAGGTGGTGGAAATTTTTTCCTTTGGTTGATTTCTTGTGGATGGTTTTTTTGCCACTGATGGATGTTGCATCTGCTATAGTTGCTTCCTACGAGGCCTCTTACAAGCCTTACTGAATGTGGCTGTCTTTTACTGCATTCAAACCTTTTTAGAAAAATCATTATGCTATTTTTTACAACTTAAAACTAAACATTGCCAGTGCTGATGTTTCAGCTCAGGGACAGAAATTACAGCAAACTCATGCCATTTTATCCAGCTTTGGGATCAGAAGTTACCTTAAGCTGATGTACAGCTGCGATCTAGAGATGGAATGTGTATAGTCTTAATTTGATTTTAAAGGCCTGTCTTGTTAATACATTCATGTATTAACGTATCTTTAAAAAAATACAAAGCCAACAAATATTAAAATACACATAGGATTGCCTTTTGAAGTTATATTTGGAATGACCTGTGTCTGTATGTTTCTAAATGGTTTAATTTTAGAAATATATTTTATGTATTTTGAGTTCATGAACTGTTGCCCATGATGTCAGAAGAGATTTGTATCTCACTTGTTTATTCCTATTTTTATAGATGGCTATACAACAGATGACATTGAATTTTACTGGCGTGGGGGTGATAATGCAGTCACAGGAGTGACAAAGATTGAACTGCCACAGTTCTCCATTGTAGACTACAAGCTTATCACCAAGAATGTTGTTTTCTCTACAGGTTTGTGGAGGGGAACTTAAAAGGGGAATTATTTAAAAAACTTTTAAAACTGGATTAATTCTCTGTGTGCAGTTGAGAAGCAAAACTTTTAGAAACAGAAATAAAATAGAATAGCAACTGTGAATTTGGAAAGCAGAAGTTTTTATTACAGCTTCCATAGTGTATAAGGCATCATTCATTAACATATGAAGAGGGCGCAGTAATCTGTCATGTTAAGGCTCATCGAATGAGCTGCATTTTCTGTTTACCTATGAAAACTGATTAAGCCACTTATTCCTCTGTGCTGTAAACCCAACCCAGAGTGTAGGAAATTTAGGAACCTTTTCTCTGTATTTTTAGACGTTTGTTTTGCTGAGTTAGAGATGTATTAGACTAATTATTTTGTCTTCAATGTAAAATCTTTAAAATGCTTTTTCCAGGATTTCCAGTTTAACCTATTCTAGCAAATGTATTACTTTCTGAAGGCTGAAAAGATGCTTTCTGAAAAGGAGCAGAAAATCAGATTGGATTTCATGAAATTAAAATAAAGCAAACAAATAACTAACATAGTTCAATGACATTAAATTGTTCAAGAGAGGGAAGAGTTGGATTCGGCTGTTACTAGGAGATATTTTCTACCTACTTGAGAAACCCATTAGGTGTGTTAAAAACAATTATCTTCAAAACTCACTTTCCAGATGTGGGCAGAAATTATCTTTGGAGGGAATATTGAAGGATTTTACATCCCAAATTCTTCAAAATCAAGCAGAAATGGGAAGAATGATTTCTAGGTACCCATATTAACAAATGTTTTATACACTACAATATTTCTGGAATCCAGTGACAAAAGACGAGTGTTGCCATTCTTGGGAAGAGGTTTAGGATAAGGATTACACTGAAGCTGACATACACCAGTTTGTCAGGGAAGAGGCATTTCTTTGTTGCTTTGTTGCTCTGATGTGTATTTTGGCTGTTGATGGTTGAATGTTATGATTACCAGCTGATAAACAACTAGAGCATCTTTGTATCCTTAGCATAAAAGATGATTTAATCCTAATTCTTGCTGGAAATTTTGCAGCTGAATATCCTGGATATTTCAGCTCTGAGTGTACTATGTTGAATGAAAATATAACCAAAATGACAGAAAAGAAAAATGTTTTCAGGCATTATACAAATAAATTATGGCCATACCAAATATTCTCTTTTAGGTGCCTACCCAAGGCTGTCTCTCAGCTTTAAACTTAAGAGAAACATTGGTTACTTCATTCTACAGACCTACATGCCTTCTATTCTGATCACTATCCTTTCTTGGGTTTCCTTCTGGATTAATTATGATGCTTCAGCTGCAAGAGTTGCTTTAGGTAGGTATTTTTACACATTTCATGTGATGTGCATTAGCTGAATGGTTTTTCTGGCTTCTAGCTGAGTGGATAGTGCATGATTTGAAAATAAAAAAATATATGTTAGATCTTTTTATGTTTGGCTTGTTAAGCTTTGTATTATTTGAATCAGCATTTAACACATCAGAATTTAAATAAAAATTAAAATGATTTCATGTCTGAATCATCTAGCTGTATAATCATTGTAACCAAAACTAGCCTAACTGTCTCAACATATTCTGTTGCTTTCTTGCTGCTTGTTTTTTCTCTGAAAAGAATGCACTTAGTTTGCTTTTGCCCGTGGCAGTCCAGAACACACATTCAGCATTGTGTTGTGGATTATAAATTGCTTTTCCTTTCAGGAATTAAATAAAGTTTTATTAGGGTTGTCCTCTTTGAGGGAGGAGGCTGTGCCTCAAATCCCGTGTCCAGTTCTAGGCTCCTCCTTTCAAGACAGACATTGAGGTGCTGGAGGGTGTCCAGAGAAGGGCAAGAGAGCTGGGGAAGGGTCTGGAGCACAAGACTGATGAGGAGCAGTTGGGGGAGCTCAGCCTGGAGAAAAGGAGGCTCAGGAGGGACCTTCTTGCTCTCTAAAACGTCCTGGGAGGAGGGTGCAGCCAGCGAGGGGTTGATCTCTTCTGCCAAGTAACAAGTGAAAGGACAAGAGGAAATGGCCTCAAGTTATGGTAGGGAAGGTTTAGATTAGATCCTAGGGGAAATCTCTTCACCAAAAAGGTTTCCAGCACTAGCAGAGACGGTTCTGGGAAGTGGTGGAGTTACCATTCATGAAGAGATTTAAAAGATGTGTAGATTTGGTGCTTGGGGACATGGTTTAGTGATGGCAGTGCTGAGTTAAAGATTGGATTCAATGAACTTAAAGGTGTTTTCCAACCTAAACTATTGTAAGAATCTGATTATTTTTTTCTTAATTACCTTACATTCCAAAAGGAAAACTGTTTCCCTAATTAATATCTAAAGTATGTGTAAATATCATCAATAGTCCCATGTGTGCCTGTTTATTCTGTGCCCCTCATCATAAGGAGTATGTTACAAAAATAAGTATCTCTATCTGTTGCCAAATTTTGTCTAAATCAGACTGATTCCTGCCAGTACAGATCTTATATAGCTAAAACAAGTAAATGCCTATAAAATACGCCATTGAGAATTTGACATTTTAATGTTATAGAATATATCTGAGTTTTACCAGACCTTTCTGTGTCGCATTTTGCCTTAAGAATTTGAGACTGCTGGCATCCTGAAAATGCTGGAGGAAAGCAAGATAAAGTGACTGTATGTAGCCTGTAATTTTTAAGTGAGACTCATTACAGAAGGTTGCAGTTTAGGTGGTTGAAAATATACTTATGGAATCCACCTAGTGTTTGCTTGACTGAGCTCAATTTATTACAGGTATAATGTTTTTTATGCTATGCAAAAAATCCGAGTCCAAGATAAGGACTGAACAAGATGTTCCTGGAAAAATTCAAACACAGAAAGGATATCTATAGAGAGTGGCAGCAAGGTCACGTAGCCTGTGAGAAATACACACAAAAAATCTGAGCAGCCAGGAATCAGGTTAGGTAAGCTAAAGCCCTAAGACAGAACTAAATCTGTCCAGGGATGTCAAAGGCAACAAGAAAAGCTTCTATATAGGTACATCAGTGCTAAAAGACAGTAAGGGAAAATGGAAGTCCTCTCTGAAAGGAAACAGGGTCTGGAGAAGACTGAGGTACTGAGCACCTTTTTAATGCCTTGCTCTCATGGACAAGTGCTCCAGATACGTTGCCAAGTTGCAGAAGGCAAAGGCTGGGGCTGGGAGAATGAAGAACCACCTGCTTAAAGGATCTTGTCTGAGACCATCTTAGTAAGGAACCTGGGGATCCCAAGCACAAGTCCTTGAGACCTGATGAGATGCATCTGCAGATCCTGAGGGAACTGGCAAATAAATTGGCGAAAACTATCCATCATATTTGAGAAGCCATGGCAGCCTGGCGAAGTTTCACTGACTGGAAAAGTGGAAGCAAAGCCGTCTTTTTAAGAGGGGGGAAAAAAAGAAAATTTGGGGAACTGCAGAACTGTCAGCCTCACATTGGTACCTGTCAAGGTCATGGAGTAGATCCTCCTGGAAACTATGCTGAGGCACATGGAAACTAAGGAGGTGATTCACGAGTGTCAACTTGGCTTCAGTAAGGGCAAGTTGTGCCTGAAAAAGTCTGTGGCCATCTACAACAGGGTCACAACAATGGTGGAATGAGGGAAAAGCAACTGATGTCATCTACCTGGACTTGCACAAAGCATCTGACACTGTTATGCATGAGATCCTTCTCTCCAAACTGAAGAGTTATGGATTTGTTGGATGGACACTCAGTGAATAAGGAATTGGCTGGGTGGTTGTACTTAAATAGTTGCAGCCAACAGTTTGATGTCCAAGTGGAGACCAGTGACAAGTGTCCTCAGACATCTGTGTTGGGATTGGTGCTTCTTAACACCTCTGCCAGCAACATGGACAATGGGATTGAGAGCATCCTCAGCAAGTCACTGAGCGGTGTGGTGCTTTCCACATGCTGGAGGGAAGAGATGCCATCCAGAGGGACCTTAAGGGGCTGGAGAAATGTCTCAAAGATAATTGAGTGACTGGAGAACCTCTGTCTATGAAGACAGGGAGTTGGAATTGTTCAGCCTGGAGCAGAGAAGGCTCCAGTGAGACCTTACAGCACCTGTGAGAGCCTAAAAGGGCTCCAAGAGAGCTGGAGAGGGACTTGGGACAAAGGGATACGCCTTTAAACTGACAGCGTGTGGATTTAGATTAGATTTTAGGAAGAAATGCTTCACTGTGAGTGTGGTGAGACAGTGGATCATGTTGCCTGGATTGGGGCTTTGCTATCCCTGGAAATAATCAAGACCAGAGTGGATGAGGTTATGAGCAACTTGGTCTAGGAAAGTTCCCTTCCCATGGTACTGGATGGTTTTGAAGTTCCCTTCCAACCCAAACTTTTCTAGGATTCTATGAATATGGACAGAGGTTAGAGATATCTTTTTTGCACCAGGGGAAAAATATATTTTTCAATCTAGCATTTGAATTGTATAAATTATTATTCTGGAAAAGAAATTAAAATTCTTTCAATCACTAGACTTCTCAATTCTTTTTTCCAGGAATCACAACTGTGCTTACAATGACAACAATTAACACCCATCTTCGAGAGACTCTTCCCAAAATTCCATATGTGAAAGCTATTGATATGTACCTTATGGGGTGTTTTGTCTTCGTTTTCATGGCTCTGCTGGAGTATGCATTGGTCAACTACATCTTCTTTGGCAGGGGACCTCAGCGTCAAAAGAAAGCAGCAGAAAAAGCTGCCAGTGCAAACAATGAGAAGTTGCGAATGGATGTCAATAAGGTAAACTGTAATGGGGATAAATTTTTAGCATTTCCCCAAGGAGGCAGACTCTAACTTCTGTCAGACAGTGCTTTAAAATGTGATTTCTTGTAGAAAATGAGTGGAGTGTAATTATGATGACCTTGTCTTAGCTCTGCAGAGCAGTGTATTTAGCCACCTCAGCAATGAATGTTGCCCTCTAGCCTGGAAAGCTGAATAACTTGTTTCTAAAGCATGCAGTCAGTGAAGCTTTACTGAGAGATGTTTTCTTAGTCAGAATTTAGACTTGAATATGTACAATATGTTTCCAAAGGAATAAATCCAAAATGATGGCTGTATATTCTAGTAAAATCTATATGGAACATTGCAACTAAAACCTAAATTTAATCTGCTTTCATAAATCTTTCAGATGAGCTGGGTAAGAAATATTTGCCACAGGAGTGTTTAAAGCTTGACAAGTTTGCATATTTTCAATGTATAATGGGCCAGGATACTATTGACTAAATTAGGAACTCAGAAATAAGCCATCAATGTGCTGTGTACTTAATTTTGAATCTAAAAGTGGCCCCCTAGGGATGGAGAATTGAGGCAGAAAAGATATTTGCCAAGATACACACTTCAGGGAGAAGTATCCATTATGCTTAATGAAAATGGGGCACTTATCATAAAGCACTTGTAATTTATCACTTTGACCATTTTGGGATGAATATCATACAGTGGCAAATCTGTGCTGAATGCAGAAATGTTCTCAGTCTAAAATGTATAAACTTTCACACATATGCAAAATTGGAAAGTTAAATGAGGTTGAATTATGTTTGGGGGGACTTTTTTTTTTTTTTTTTTGTCAGGAGAAGCTCTTTGAGTTGTAATTCATAAGGACAGCCCAAGGAGAAAAAAAGTCAAAGTCAGAATTAAAAAATAAATCTGCATTAAAAAAACCTCAAGGGATTATTTGTCAATCAGAAACTTAAGTTTCATACAGCTGTAGTAGTGAAATTTCTAATGTTTGTTCAGAACCTCTTCACACATAATGGGCCTAAAGACAGAATAATATTTTATTCCAAAAATCCATCACATGTTGATAGCACAAAACAGTTTTCTAGGATATAGTTTGTAAGAAGGACAGTTATATCGCCATGGTTCAGATCTCATCCATTCATTGGTTTATTTTTTTACTTTTTGATTGGAGAGAAACATATTTTAATGAAAGCATACTCATAATGATGAGTTTAATTTTGATGTTAATATATATTAACTTTTAACATTGTCAAGTTCATGAAGACACTAACGTGTTTTTGTTTCTAGTGGTGACTTTTCAGAAATAAAAAGATCTGTGAGTTTTTATTTAATATGGAAAGGGGTTTTTTTTAGTTTTTAAAATTAAATTTCACTTTTTAAAAAATGCTATAAACTACCCTGTAATTTTGTAAGACTAGACCTGCATTTACCTGAAGCCTTTCCTCTAACATCAGTAGAAACTGAAGATCCATAAGTGTCAGAATACCACCTCTAGCTGAGGTATATTTTTATACACTTTGCTTCACTTGTGGTGTTTTCAATATTCTTGCTCATGCAATAGTTCTTTCAGCTGTGTAACAGAATTGCTGAAGTCCGCTGGAAAATTGCTAACCATGAAAAAGAATTTGAAAGCAGTAAGTGATATGCTAATCAAATTCGCTAGGTAGAGTAAATTAATTTCAGTAACTGTTGCAGAAATTTACCAGCTTACACAAACTACACTGTGGAACAAAAGTAACAACTTTACATTACTTTTTTTTTTTTTTTATACTGAACTTTTTTGCTAATGTACTAGGCCAGTATGGTTAACAGTTGTCCTGGTTTGAAAAAGACAGGTGTGCTAGGGAAGAGCGGGGCCTTCCCTCGAAATGGAGCTAACAAATCCCTCTGAGTTAGTATAATTTTGAAATTAAGGGGTTCTCGGGCAAAGATACAGGGATAGAAATAACAGTTGTTTGCTAGTATATCTAACAAGACAAGCAAAAACAACAACTATGAAATTAACAGAGAACAGAACAGTAAGCCAGTTCCAGTCCTTCTCAGCTGCAGGCGCCCTTCTGTGCGCTGCAGTTACCGTCACCATTGGCATTGAGTTTGGCAGGTTCCCGAGTGGACAGGAGCAGCTGCAGGGCTGCTGGGGATGATGGCGGCAGTGTCCCAGATGGGAAAGCGATGGAGGAAAGACTTTGCTCACAGCGTTGGTCCCGGTGCTCCAACAGGATGCTTGGAGATAGCAAGCTGAAGCGAGAAAGCGTCCAAGCAGGGCAGCAGTGCGGGGTCCAACAACAGAAGAAGCAGCTCCTGGCGTTGGGATGGGGGGGGCGGGGGCGGCGGTAGCATCGGCCTTCCTCCTCTGACTCCAAGAGCAAGTGAGCGAGCAACTGCCTCCCAGCCTCCTTTACCTGCTTCTAATCTTCTAACACCCCCCCTTCCCTCCACCCTCTGAGGGTCTCAAGGACTCAGCCTCAATATCCCTTAGCATGTCAATGGGAAGAAATTCCACAGACGGAGAGGAAAGGAAAAAAACCTAATCCCCAACAACAGTCTGTGGCAGTTCCACTCTGGGATTGTCCAGATCCACTCTGATCTGGTAATCAGGTTTGCCATCTTTTAAGCCAAAGACAGGGAATCAAATAGGAGAGGCTCAGAGAACTTGTCTTACTGCACAGAGACTGCTCAGGGGAGAAGGAAAGGAGCTAACAGCTGTTCTTGTTGTTTGACCAGCAGAAGAAAATGAATTAGTTTTTAATGGAACTGAATATTTTCTCTGTTAAAGGGAGACATATTATGTAATTGTTTTCATTTATAAGAATCAAAAAGGGGTCTGAAGTGCTGAAATTAGTTCAGAAACAGTTTTTCATAAAAACCAACATATTTTATAAATGGAATCTCACAAACATTCCATCTTTAACTAGGCTCCAATAGTGAAGGATTGATTTTACAAGGTATGAGTGTTCTTTTGTGATATTACAAGATTCCTCTTGAATCACTATATGCAATATTATGAACATCAAAATCAGGTACTATATGAGAGAAGATTGATGCTATGAGGAGTAAACCTCAAAATGTGAGGATGAAAACTTTTACTCAAAACAACTTCCGTTACTGCATTCAGCATTGACACTGTAAAAGAGGTGGATAAATAGTTACTGGAACTGCTATTTGTAGCGCAGCATCTTTGTTTATACTTTGTAGATCAGAAAATCTGTAATAGTTTTCTTGAAATTCCAACAGTCTTGTTTGGTAGCAATCTCATACAACTTTCAATCAACAGAAGGTGGTGAGAGGAGAAGTGCTGACCATTCCTCTCATCCACAGCTGTTTGCAAAATTGAAGGAGAAGTTAATTTATGCTTCCTTTATGCTGTTTAATTCTTTTTCATGGACTGATTCCAGGGTGGACATGGGCACTGGTAATCTCTATTTTTGCTTGGTGTTATTCAGAAGATACTAGAGAGCCTACAACACAGTGTGCAATGGAACCTTTTTTTCCATGACTGTGGTATCTGCTGAATCCATTGCAATCTCTTGGAGATTTGGTGACTCAGGTGTCCTGTTTTTTCTGTTAGCGTGAACTCCATCAGGCTGGCTGCAGACCTTCCCCATGGCTATTCCAGATGAAACTTTGCTCAAATATTTTTTTTTAATTTCATATCAAGTGCATATCATATGCAAAATATGGTAGTTTGGGGTTTGTTCTGTTAGGGTTTTTTTAATCATGGAATTGTTTGAATCTGCAGGGACGTTTAAAGGTCACCTACTCCAACCTTATTTTAATGAGCAGGGTCATCTTCAGCTAGATCAGGTTGCTCAGGACACCATCCAATATGACCTTGGATACCTGTTTCCAGGGATGGGGCATCCACCACCTCTCTGGGCAACCTTTTCCACTGATTAATCACTTTCGTTTAAAAAAAATTTCTTCCATCTATCTAGTCTGAATCATCACATAATATATATTGCATTTTCAAAGACTGTGGATCCAGTTTGGAGTAATGGAAAGGTAGAGAAGGGATTGGGCCTTTATCTTGATTTGCTTCTTGGATACTGAAACCTGAGTAATAAAATCATATAGAAATTTAAAGAACATAAAATTCAAGGAAGAGTCAGACTCAGTTACCAGCAGATACACTGCCACAGACTTTTTAAATCATATTGTACTTGCTTGATTTTCTTTCCAGTGAGTTCAGATGAAAATGGCTGTCAGCATCATCATTCCACTCTTGAAACTTCTCAAGCTGCATTTAGCAGTTTGTTCCTTTAGTCTAATTCATCATCTTTTGCCTTGTCAAGACTAGTTGTTCTTTCTGTAAACAATCGTGTTGTTGCTTCTAGGTAAATCATTGACTTTATACTTACTCTAGACATCTTTCATTTATTTGAGATAGTATCCACGTAATTTCCTCACCTCTCTTTTCAAGTTTTTCATCTTATGTCTTGAAATGCCTTTCTTGCCTTGGTAGTCTCAAGTTTCCTAGTCTCTTCTGTTCTGATTGGCACAGTACTGCAAGGTTACATAAGGATAGGCACATTGGGAGTGGGTATTATGGTATAGATAGTCGAAGCAATTGTTATGTCTTTTTATTCTGTGAGCTTTTGTATTTAAGATAAGAATGTTGATGGTCTTCAGTGTCCTTTTGGTACTTTGCATTTCATGAATCTTCATGCTAATATTGTCTATGTTTCTTCAAGATGATTAACAGATACATTAAAATACAGGGCCAAATTACAGCCTCTGGCTTCCCAATATCACTTACCTGTCTTTCTATGGGTAATTGTACATGCATCTGGGACGTTATCTCTTCTGTTTTAAGATAATGTGTACCAAAGGCTTTACTGAAATCCATAAATCGTATCTTTTTATTCAGTAGCTACATACAAATGGTCTAGAAAGATTTGATCTAGAAGCCTCTATGACCCTGTTTTTTCTTTTCATTGTAATTTTTTTGTTCTTGTTTCCTTTTGGGATAGAAGGGTGCAAGGAAAGGGAAACAAGCTACATAT